CCCCGAGTAAACATTTTCAGAAAAGTCCACCGACTTTCAAAATTTTTCGGTCGCCATGTTGAATCCGCCATTTTAAATTTTGAATTTCTGATATAAAATTCGTAATCAGCGACCCTAATAACCCCCGAGTAAGCAATTTTAACTAAATTGGACAAACTTTAGAAACTTGACACATTTAAATTACTTTATTATGATTTTTTGAAATCTTTGACGCCATTTTGAAAAAAATAAAAGAGGGGAGGAAAGAGGAGAGATTTTTTTTTGAAGTTTAACTATCGAGTGCACGATTTATATGCTTGGTGGATGGCAAAAAAATATTTCGCTTTCGAAATATATATAAATTTAAGTAAAGATGTAAAAGGTTCTTTTTGTTGAGAATCCACATTTATTTTCTAATTAAAATGTTAAGCTTTTCGTCCATCGACGACAGACCTCTTCAGACATACTTTAGAAAACTGCAAATTTACAAAATATAACATGACAGAATGAGAAAGAACAAAAATGTAAAAAGTTATCATATTACAGTATAGTAACTATGCTATATAATTTTCGGTATAATTTTCGGTCATTTTTATGACTTGTTTTTGTTTTATAAATAAATATTTATAATGATATGTGAGGTGAGAAATTCCACGTGGTAAGTTAAGGTTATATAGCATAGTTACTATACTGTAATATAATAACTTTTTACATTTTTGTTCTTTTTCATTCTGTCATGTTATATTTTGTAAATTTGCAGTTTTCTAAAGTATGTATGAAGAGGTCTGTCGTCGATGGACGAAAAGCTTAACATTTTAATTTGAAAATAAATGTGGATTCTCAACAAAAACAACCTTTTACATCTTTACTTAAATTAAAAAATCCAAAAAACAAATTTTACATCTTTACTATATTAGGGTGGTCCAAAAAAAGTAAAATCGGAATTTCAATGCTCTCACCCCCTAGGATTGTTCTATATGGAGAAAAAAAATACCCCTATTTTTTGAAAATAAAAAAATATTTAGAGGTCGCTCAAAGCGCTCAAAGTTTTCCATGTAAAATGCATGGGGAAAAACACTTTTTCGTAGAATTGGTATAGAATCCTTGAAAATTAATATTTTTCATTCAGCAAACTCTGTTTCTCTTCAGAAGACTTCAAAGAATAGTGCTAAATTGTTTATTTAATCATTTTTTAAAATTAACTAATTTTTATAGTGCCCCAAAAAAACCCTATAAATTTTAAAATTTATATAAAAATCGTTAAAAAAATACTTTTTACTATTTTTATTAAAGTTTTTTCCTAAATTATGAACAAATAACACAAATATTGATTTTTAAACATTATTCCATGTAATTTCTAATTTGTTTAATCAAATTATTATTATTGTTTATTTACAACTTTTTATCTAATTGAGCTAAAGAGTTCCGATTTTTTTTTCAATTTTGCATCTTTTCAGGCCGAATGTAACCAGTCACTATTAAAGAATATTAATTTTACCAATTGTTTAAACAAATTACTATTGTTTAACTTCCACTTTTTATCAAAATGAGCTACAGAGTTGCAACGTTTTCTTAATTGTACATATTATTTTTTTGTGAGGTAATATTTAATGTAAGACTTAATTATCGAGTAAAAATTGTGAACAATAAATTTATTATTATAAAAATGTTAAGTACAAAAAATTTTATTTACATCATTGAAATTACTACTGCGATAGCTTCAAATTTAAAATAACAATTTGTTTAAGCAACTGGTAAAATTGTAATCCTTAGATTGTTGATAGTCACTAGTTACATTTGGCTTGGAGCACTATTCTTTAAAGTCTTCTGAAGAGAAACAGAGTTTGCTAAATAAAAAATATTGATTTTCAAGCATTTTATACCAATTCTACGAAAAAGTGTTTTTTCCCCATGCATTTTACATGGAAAACTTTGAGCGCTTTGAGCGACCTCTAAATATTTTTTTATTTTCAAAAAAATAGGGGTATTTTTTTCTCCATATAGAAGAATCCTAGGGGGTGAGAGCATTAAAATTCTGATTTTATTTTTTTCTCATGTATTTTTGGACCACCCTATTACTATATATAAATTTATTCAAAAACCATTAAAAAATCGTGTCTTTTTGCCAATAAACATTAATAAACATTATTTAACAATTTTTAAAACTATTTTTAATAGCATATTCAGAAAGAGGACACTTAAATACGTTAGACACGGGGTTTGCTGAAGAAATAGGGCATTTATTCTATAAAATATCATTGCATAAAGTCATAGTTTATTAATAATAAAGCATACTTAAGACGGGAATAAGACGAATTTTAATATTTAAAAAATAAAACTGTTTCGTCTTGAAAAGATAAAGTGAGCGGATTTACCCTGGAAAATTGTAGTTTCGAAATTTGATATATGTGTGTTAAAAAATTTCATTAAGTAAAACTAAAAAAGATAAATCAAAAACTGTTTTTTATTTTTTAGTAGAAATCATAAGCTTTCAAATGATATAAATTAACTTGGAGTTAGAGAATAATTTCCTAGATTTTAAACGATCTGAAAAAAGTGAGCGGGTTTACCCCAGTCTCCTCTACTGGTCAAACCAAGTGTTTTTTTCCAATGTTCTTTCTAATAATATATATTTTTATTAACTAAAATTTTTGTTACATAAAAGGGAACATATGCTACCTTCTTATCAAGATATTTATATTGAATTTAAAGCTTGATTTTTATTTTATTATTATTAATTAGTAGGTATTTAGTATTAATATAAAAACTTACATAGGTAAGAAAGTATATTTTGTTAAGTAATAATATTGTATTTTTAGTGCACATTTATTTCGTTTTTTATTCGCACATAAAACTTATATTTATTATTTGTAAATAAATTATGTGCACCTAATTCTAACATTGTATGAAATTCTTAATACAATTATTACTTTTTCAAACATAAATTCGACTTTCTATTTCTTTTGGAAAGCAAATCAATTTGACTGCCACTTTCAAAACTTTATTTCTTGAGAAAAATTACTTTTTAGTCAATTTTGAATCTGGTTCGCGATATTTTCTCATAATTTTCGAGGAAAAATACACCTTTTTACGAAGTTTCAGAAAAATTCTTTTAAAAGGCTGAAATTCGCAAAAATTGATACATCATTTTTTACAAAAATCTTTAAAAAATACCTTCATAATCAAATCTAATGATGTTCTGTATGTTTTTTTAGATTATACTTTGACACAAAACTAAAAAAATTGGCTATAAACTCACGATTATTGATATTAGAACATTTTTATGGACATTTTTATCGAACTAAACTTGTTTATTAAATAGATGTAATAATTGAAATGTAAAAATTGAAAACATAAATAAATATCAATGTAAACTTAATAAAATATTAAACATTATTCTATCCAGCAGATAAATTAAAAATTTTTTACGAGCGACGCGTCGTTACCATTCTCTGTATTATCTCGCAACGTGCGCTGTTATTCAAAAACGTGTTCCTAAAATTAAGAGTTTAAAAAAAAGACTGTGCAACTTAAATAATTATAACTTGAATAAAATACTTTTCTTTATAATTGAAGTGTATTATTCATTTGTGCGACGACCTAAATTACGAAAGTAATCCAACAGGTTATGGAAGCCCAGTGAATCGAGAAAACATCGTCCACGTTTCCACCACGCGAAAAAATTAATTAAAAGAAGAGAAAAAGGCGAGAAAATGTCACAAAGTGGAAAAGAAAATTTGAAGGAAGAAGCCAGGCCTGGTGAGTAAAAATATAATACACATTGAATATAATTTTCAAAATCACCTGCACGTGTTTGCAAAAATGTTCAAAAGAATAAATTTAAAGTCGAGTTTGAAAGAGTGGAAAGAACATTAAAATAATAAAAATTAAAATAGATAAAACAAAATAATACAGAAAAATATAAAATTCCAAAGAAACTTGAATCCCTTCCCCATATGCCTCAAACTAATAAAAATAATCTTTCAGTCATGTCGAGATTAGACAGTCAAGAAAACAAATTTGACAAAATAGTCGAAATTGTTTACAATTTCTGCTCTGTTTCTATCAAATCTGCTCAACAAATTGTAAAAATTTAAACTTTAAAGATTCTAGTGATAAAAATAACACTAATGAAAATAAACTCAACGAAGTAGTAAAATTTGAGATAATAAATAAAGGGGGGATAACTTTTAAGGGGAGACCCTACCTTAATTTTGACGCCTTTGAAATAAAATTATTAAACGAGGTAATATTTTTTTTCTTGCATCATTTTTAACCTGAAAACATATAAGATGGTCAAAAATATTTAATTTTAATTTTTGAAGAGGTTAGAATTTTTTTCTTCTGACCTATTGCATATTATTGCAAATCCATGCGAGAAGTTGTTTAGAATGGTAAAATATGCATGGAAAAAAAACTTCGTGAAAAAATATTAAAAACTTTAAGAGAAGATCGATATTTAATATTCAAATCTTTAAATTTTGCCGAAATTTCGGAAGTCCTAAACCTTTATTTTTTTACAATTTGATGCTCTGAGTCGAAAAAACATCGTTAAAATTGACATTTACCTCATTTTCATGGTAAAAACTATAAAAATCATGGCTTTTTGCATTTATTTCGGTATATATAAAGTATATCATAAAAGCTTTGGACTATGATTTTTATGGAATTTACTACGTAAATGAGCTAAATATAAATTTTAACAATGTTTTTTTAATAATAGCATCAAATTACGTAAATATACACAATTTGGAAAAAAATTAAAGATTTACGGCTTTCGAAATTTTGGTAAAATTTAAAGATTTGAATATTAAAAATCGATATTCTCTTACAGTTTTTAATATTTTTTAACGAAAATTTTTTTTCATGCATATTATTATTATTATTATTATTATTTCACATCAGAATTAAGATCTTGTGATTTATTACACGTCAAAGATGAGAAATTTATTTCTAGGCGAGATAGATGAGAAAATACTCAATGAACAAAAAATCAAAGTTAGGGACATACTAATTAACCACCTTGACAGTAATTATCACGCGAAAGTTTTAAATTTTCAAGATCCAAAAGAAATACTTAAAAAAATTATCAGAAATTAGAAGATGTGAAACTAACTTAAATTTTCATACAGTGCGTAAACAATTGTATAACATGAAATATATTTTTGAAAAAACCACGGCGGGAGATAGAAAAATTCGAAGACACGATCAGAAATTATAAAAACTCTCAAAATTCGGTTCCTTTCTCTGAAGATGAGAAAAGAGATGCGTTCTTTAATGCCATAATGGTGTCAGTACCTTCTGTACAAACAATAGAATTTGTCTCTCGAAACACTAAAAACAAAGGTATCACTTATGAAGAATTAAAACTTTTACTTATGCAGGATGAGGCGACACGGTGTGAAAAAGAAGAGGAAAAAGAAATACGAGCAGTAAATATGGTAACAGGCGAGGTCAACAAGAGATGCTACGAATGTCAGGACTACGGTCATATAGGTGCGTACTGTCCCAAGAAAGGAAAGGGAAAGATGTGTTACCGATGTAACAAATTCGGAAATCATATTGCCAATAATTGTCCAACAACGAACAATCAACCTGAACATTCATACAGAGGAAGAGGCTATGGAAGAGGAGATCCAAGGTACAAAAATTAAAATATAAATTCATTTAATCAGGCGCGAGGTTTTAAAAGAAAGTCACAATTAGCTTATCCTAATTATGGTAAAAGGGGAAGGAGTAATGGAAATAGAGGTGGGTTTAAAAATAATTTCTAAATAGATCAAAATAAAATTTATCAACGGAATAACGGTAAAAATTCTAAACAAAACAAACAAACGAAACAACAGGATAAAAATAAAAGGGGTAAGCAACAAAATTCTTTTGAAAATAATAGAACATTTTATATTAATACACAAGACGAGAAGGTTAATGAAAATATCAAAATCAAATGTTTAGCAGATTCGGAAGCGACAGACCATTTAACTAATTCTAAAATAATATTCAAAACTTTTAATAAATTAGAAACTGGTGTAATTAAATGTGCAAACAAAAATAAATCTGCGGATTTAAAAATGGAGGGAGTGGGTAAAATCGAAATAAAATTAAATAATGGCGAGACACTTAAAATCGGCAAAGTTCTGTTTGCTGAAGCATTAAAAGAAAATTTACTTTCATTGCGAAAATTTGCCGAAATGGGTTTAGGAATATATTTAGATGACGAGAAAGTAGACATAATAGATCCCATTTCAAATGAAAAATTATTAACAGGCGTTTATAAAAGACCATTTTGGGAAATAGAATTAAAAATAAAAGGTATTTCAAATAATGATGAGAATTTTGATAAAATTATAAGTAAAGATATTTTTGTAAATTTAGCTAAAGGGGAGGATAAAATTCATAGGTATTTGACAAGAAGTGTAGTAAATAAAAAAAACTAGTAGAATCAATTAAAAATAATAATCTTATTATTTTAAACAGAGAAACAAACGAAGAAATAATTGAAAAATCACCTGAAGAAAATTTAAACAATTCTGTAACTAAAGACGAGGAAAATAAAACTAACAAAGCTCCATATGAACAGTCAAATTTTGATGTTACCATTTGGGATAGAAAACTTCACGATATTGACGAATTATCTATCATTGAATTACCTGAAGAGGAGAGTCTTTTATTAAATAATAAAAATGAATAAAATAATAAAGCACTTATATGGCACAGTCGATTTGGCCATGCGTCAATTGAATACTTAAAATCATTACAAAAGAAATTCCCAGAAAATAAAGAATTAAATTCAGTAGTTTTTGATAAGAAAATAACAAAATGTGAGGTGTGTTTAATTGCAAAAATGAACAAATTACCATTTTTATCAACGCAAAATCGAGCAACTGCTCCTCTTCAAATCATTCATTCAGACATAATGGGTCCTATCTCACCGGCAACATTTCCAAAAGGATATCGATTTATATCGGTATTTATTTATTTATTTATTTATTTATTTATTTTTGCGATTAACAATTACATATCCCATAAAAACGAAGAGTGAAACAGGTCAATGTTTAAAATATTTTGTAAGAAGCGCGCGAAATTTATAAAGGCGAGATGCAAAGGTGTGTTATTTAAGAACTGACCAAGGCACAGAGTATACAGGAGGATATACCTTAGAAATTCTACGTGAATTAGGTGCGGAATTACAAATAGCATGTCCTGATACACCAGAACCTAACGGTGTATAAGAAAGATTCAATCAGACCATACAAAAGAAGGTGCGTTGTTATATGTATGATTCAAGATTACCGGAAAATCTATGGGATTTAGCCTTATCTGCTGCCATTTATGCGTATAATCGTTCCCCACATAAATTAAATAACATGATAATTCCTCTAGAAAAATTCAATCCTAATCACAATTTTGATATAAGTCAAATTAAAAGATTCGAGTGTGTTGCATATATCAAAGTTCAAAGACGAGTAGGACCAAAGTTTCCAGCAGAGGGTAGACGAGTAGTATTAGTTGGGTATACACCGACAGGTTATCAATTGCTAAAACCAGAAGATGGGAAATTTTATGATAGTCGACACGTGAGATTCAATGAAAAGTTAGTATATGGTGATAAATATAAAAAAAAGATATTAACAATATTCCCTAAATTGAAAATGAAATAGACAAAAGTAATTGGTTTAATAAATTTGATAATAAACAAAATGAAAGACGAGAATTAACAAAAACGGAGAGAGAGATTAAACGTAAAAGAAGAAGACCAACAAAAAATAAACCACAAATCAATGAACAAATAAAAGTAAACACGAATATTAACATTATCGAAAAGGAGTCTTCACCCATAATTAAAGAAAATGAAATCGAATTAAATGAAGAAACGTGCAATACCCTTTTAGCGATAATTAATTCAGACCCAATAAATTTTGAAGAAGCGATGAATTTACCAGACAAAAACAATTGGCAAAAAGCTATTGATGAGGAATTAATGTCATTAAAAAATATGAAAGTCTGGAAAATAATAACAAAACCAAGCAAAACTAGAGACGGTAAAAAGATTACAGTAATTGATTCAAAATGGTTATTTGAAAGAAAAATCGATATTAATGGATGCGATAAATTTAAGGCGAGATTAGTTATAAGAGGCTTTAAAGACAAAAACAAGTATAAATTAAGTGATACTTACGCACCAGTATCAAGATTACCGTTAGTTCGAGCCGTATTAGCAATAATCAATAAATCAATAAATATAATCTAAAGGCATGTCAATTTGACGTGAAAACCGCCTTCTTGAATGGTGAGGTTGAAGAAGAGATATATATGGAAATACCACGAGGAACTAACAGAACACAGCAAAGAGGAACGAAAAGAAAAGGTGTGCAAATTAGAACGAGCAATTTATAGATTACGTATAAGTTCAAAAAGGTGGAATGACAAATTCACTAAAGCAGCATTAAGCGTAGGATTAGAAAATTCAGACATATAACCATGTTTATTTTTATGGAAAGAAAAAGAAAAATTATTAATTCTTGTTGTTTATGTAGATGACATAATAATGTCGAGTAATGATGACAAAAAATTGGAAGAAGTTAAAAGCAAATTAAGTAAAGAATTCGAATTAGTCAGTTTAGGTGAACCTAAAAAATTTCTCAGCATTCAAATTAATCGAGACAAAAAGAATAAAATTATCGAATTACATCAAGAAAAACTCATAACTAAAATGTTAAAGAAATTTGGTTTTAATGAATTACACCCTCAAAGAACACCTATGAATACTCTTCAAGTAAATAATAGAGAAAGAAAGATGAGAGAAGAAGAAGACAATGATGAGTCATTACTAAATACAGAAACAAAACAAAATTATCCATATAGACAAGCCGTAGGAAGCTTATTATATCTGGCAGGTGCGACGAGACCAGACATCACTTATGCAGTTAATGTATTAAGTAGACACCAAGTGAATCCTACAGAAAATGACTGGAAAATGGTGAAGAGAATATTCAGCTATTTAAATGGTACAAAAGGGTTGAGTTTAAAATACAAAGGTGAGGGTGAGGGATTAGAAGCGTATTCTGATGCAAGCTTCGCAGGTTGTAAAAACTCTTTAACCACAAGTGGTTATTTAATTAAATTATTTGGAGACACAATTACATGGCGAACTCACAAACAAAATTATGTTTCGTTGTCGACCTGTCAAGCAGAATACGTTTCAATGAGTGAAGCTAGTCAAGAATTAATAGCAATGTATAATTCATTAAAATTAATTTTAACTGAACCTCTGCTTCCTATGACTTTATGGTGTGACAATAAGGAGGCGAGTGTCAGTGTTGAAACAAGCGGTGGGAATAAATTAAGACACATGACTGAAGTCAAGGAACATCATGTTAAGGAATGAGTTAAGAGAAAACTTGTTACTATAAAATGGATAAGGTCTAAAGAACAATTAGTTGATGAGTTTACAAAACGTTTGTCCTTTGATCTACACAAGAACTTAGTTAATAAAATCATGAATTCAAATGTCTAATGCTTATGTTTATTTTCAGATACTAATTAAATTATGATGAGGCACCCAAGGAACAAAATCACTATATCAAAAGGAAAAGTTTATTTTATCTATTATTGTTAATAAGATTGAAATTTAGTTTAAAATATAAGGACGAACGGGAGGGAGTGACAGATTTCAAATACGCCCGCCTTTATATTGTTAGTTACGTTTAGCGCCACTAGGCTGCTCTGGTACTTTTACGAACAACGCGTCGTTACCATTCTCTGTATTATCTCGCAACGTGCACTGTGATTTAAAATCGTGTTCCTAAAATTAAGAGTTTAAAAAAAAGACTGTGTAACTTAAATAATTATAACTTGAATAAAATAGTTTTCTTTATAATTGAAATGTATTATTTATTTGTGCGACGACCCAGATTACGAAAGTAATCTAACAGGTAATTACTTATTTATTTTTTATGTAGTTAACTCAAACGATTTTAATTAACAAATTCCTCATATTGTTAATTTGTACAACAAAGTAATCATTTCTTACACAAAATCATTTTAATATAACCAACTTACATTTAAAAGTACGTAGTAGAATAAAAATATAACAATTCAATAATCGATTATTTAAACAATCTTAATTAAAAAATGCTAAAAAATGTTAATTTCAATATTTAACCAATTCATTAAGTCCCATGAAGAAACCAGTCATTGCATTAAAAAATTATTTAACAGTTGGATTCATAGGCAAATTAAAAAAATATGTTTTTTTATTTTAATTTTCAATTTTTTAACAATAATTGTTGAAACAAATTTATAACAAGTTTTAATTTTTAGAAACTGTTGATGCCAATCGATTCTGTACAAAAAATTAAGAAATTTTTAAATGGGTAACTTTTTTGTGCAAGTCGTATTTTGTTCATAAAATTGTTTTCAACAAATTATGCTGAGTAAATGGTGTTTCATCCCAAGGATAAAAAATTAATTTGAAGTAAAATTAACAATTGGATCCATAGGCAAATTTGTTAAAATGATATACCTGTTTTTTATATTTAATTTTTAATTGCTTTTGCATGGGATGAAATAAACTTCATCCACCATAATTTGTTCATAATAATTTTATGAAAATATACGACTTAGACAAAAAAATGACCCATACAAAAATTCCTTATTTTTTTACACAGAATTGATTGGAGTCAACAGTTTTTAAACATAGTTAAATGTTTATTATTTTGTTTAAATAATTATCGTTAACCAATTGAAATCAAGAAACGGGTATATTTTTTGTCTACGAATCCAATTATTAATTTAACTTAAAATCCATTTATTTATGCCTTTGATGAAATATCCTTAACCAGCATAATTTGTTTATAATAAAAAAACAAGTATATCCTTTCTTTCAATATGCCTATGAATCCAGTTGTTTGTTAATTTTAATCCTGTAAGATAATCAATTCTATTACATATTTATTTGTTTATTAAAAGTGCTTAATTAATTATTAAATTAATTAACAAATAATTTTTTTCATTATCTTAATTCCAGGTATCATAAAATATTTGTTTCTTTCATAAATATAACTTTTAAATTAAAAAATGTAACAACTCTTAAATAATAAAGTTTTTAGTCTTTAAATTGTTTATAACAAATGTAAATTTTTTTAAGGGCTCAAGTGGATAATGTTTTAAATTAATTTATTTTTATAAGTGATGATTGCAAATATTATATTACAAAAGAGTACTATTTTTATGAATAAATGTCTTTTTCAATATTTACAAATAAATCAAACAACATGAAGTTTTTTAAATCCGGGCGAATTTCGACTTTTAGTAAAATATTACGTAAGAATGGCTTTGCCCCCCTCCTCCCGATGTTAGGTCATGTAGAGATTTCCAATCCTCCCCTCGAGACCCTCACGTAATTAATAAATAGCCTCTAAGTTTAAAAACTACTACAAAAACTAATTATACATAATTGAAATTGAAAATTTATCATCGAAACATTATTCTACATATTGTTATTAGTACATTAAATTTAAAAGAAATTATTTGATAATTATTAAATAATAAATTTAATTACTTTGCTGTAACAACAAAATTTAAATCGGTGCTTGTAATAAAAACTCAAAGGTTATGCAGGAAGCTGTTAGATGTGGTTAAAAATATTTACCTAAATAAAGGATAATTTTTTCAAATACGATTATTATGCATTATAAATAATAATTATTAATTACAATATAATTAATTAAATATATAAATTATTTAAAAACATTTTTGATAATAGAAACAAAGGATTTATTTTAAAATTTACGTAAGGGAGTAATACAGTTGCTAACCTTACTTTGAGTAAAATAAACAAATTTCTGTACTTCATAACACGATTTCTTAAGATAAAATGAAAAACAATAACGTCTGGATTTTATAAAAAATATGTATGAACAAAACCATAAAGCTTATGTCTACTGAACGAAGTATAAAAATTAAAAAATATATATAAACTATTGTAGTTGTTTAAATAGTATTTGAAACCAAAATCAAGAAGTATATTTTTATGTTACCTTTTCTGCTTTTGTTGAAATTAAAACTGGGTTATCGTATTTGACAAGAGATTCCATTATTTGTTTATTCAGATTGAAATTTAGTAATAAAAGGTTATCATAAAACATAAATTAAATAGAAATATCAGTCATCTATTTCTCTCCATAAACCAAGTGCTATTATTATGACTTCACTCTGATTACTATGGCAATATTGATATAATAAACAGAAGAACAATACATACAGAAAAGCAATTTTCATTATTTTCAAATAATATAAACTGACAATGACTTGCAGTCTTTCTGCACACTTACGTTACTTTTACAAAAGTACACTTATAAAATACATAAGTATAATAGAAGTTTACTTTAATTTTTTAAATACCCTAGCGCATCCGTCGATAGCTTCGCGGTCGACTGCGTTGGTTCTGTTTTTCGATGTCAGATTTCTTTAAAAATTGTAACTACATGTAATTTTACTTCTTTGTTATTTTTCCCTCTAAAATAATTAATGCTTTTCTTAATTACATAAATAATTTTTCAATTTCTGTTTATTTCTTTACATGAGTTTAATAATAATAATTTTTATTTAATACTAAACATAAATAATATTTAAAAACACATTTCATTTAATTATTTTCTTTAAATTCTACTAAATTAAATAGTGGACAGTAAAACTGAACACTTATATTTAATAATAGAAAATAAATTTTATTAAACCTGGCACAGTTAAATTATACAACGTTGAACTTAACATACATTTATTTAATAATTGGAAACATTTTTTTAATAATACATAATTATTCAATTACGTGGTTCAAATGTTCTACAAATACTAAATTCAAATTATCTACTCGCCAATGAGAATCTTTCTCTGTTAGATGCAAATTATTTGAATGTTCCCAGGTTAAGTTTAATAAACATGGGAGACTGCTCTATCTGATAAAAAGCCTCTTTAAAAATATTATAAAACACTTATAAACCTTCTAGGAACAAAATGGAAGATGAACTAGGTATTATACTATTTTTCTAATATGTTTTTGTAGCAATGAGGAATTTACAAGGTTGTAATGTGTTCTTAATAGGCTGTAAAGATAATTATTCAGAAGATTCCTAATGTTTTCTACAGAGTTTCCAATTCAATTTCTAATTTTTGTTTTCAATCAAATTTGTATTATGACGTAATATATTTAAGCAAATATAGTTTCGGAAAATTGCTTTCTAATAATGTTAAGAAGTAATGCAAAGCAATGTTTCAATGAAAATATTATTTGCAAACTCCCGTGTGGAAAAATATTGTGGCAGTCTAGGGTCCAATGATTTTCCGATTATTAATAATTTATTACTGTCTAAAAAAGTCTATAGTCTACATATTTTGACGAAGTCCAGCGAAGTTTTTAAAAACACTAGAAAATTAATTTTTAAGAATCCTGAGGAAAAACATTTTTGAATTTCGAATTTTAATGATAATATCAAATAAATTTTCACATTACTAGTTTTCCTTCTCATTTCTTAGAAAAAAATTTGTTTATGTCCAAAATCATTATTCAATCTAATGAGTATATTCATATGTATCTGAAAGATACAAAAATATATTTTGACTAAAAACAATTGAGGCCTTGGATCCAATAACTCGCCCGACGCTCGAAGGCACGCGCTAATACCAGTCGGGTAGCAGTAAGTGGCCCAGAGGCGCTCACTGCTCACTGACTGGCAGTTGCGCGTTCCTCCGAGCGTCGGGCGAGTTATTGGATCCAAGGCCTCAATTTGTTCACAATGTAAAACAAGTTTTAATTTAAATTAACTTAACTTAATTATGTCACCCATCGAAGAAATCTACCTTATAATTATTAAAAACTGACTACACTTATTGCCCAAAATTCCCAGAAATTTTTAATTTTTCTTAATTGAAAAATCGAAAAAGTAAAAATCCACCTGTCCTAACGTTTTTGCCTAACTCAAAATTAAACTTTTTTTCTCGATTTCCATAAATGATTTTATTATATTTTAGTAAATCCACTTTTTAATATTATTTCCTTATTAAATTTTTAAAATTTTTTAATTACTTTTACACTGAAAAAATTCTTACCTGATAAAAAATTGTTACCAACTCCAATTGGAGTTGTTTAGTTTACCAGTTTTTTAAAATTTGTCGAAAACTACAGAAATATACAATGTGGAATATTTGCAGAACTTCCGTACGGAAATTCTTTACGGTATTCCGTACGGAATTTTCGTAGAGCGGTTTCCGTAGAATCGTTTCACGAAGAAAATTAATATTTTTGTCGTTATAGAAATAGTTATCAGTTTTTGTTGTCTTATGGTAAAGCAATATTTTTTTAATTTTAAAAATCACGCGTAACAAAGGTTTTTGAGTTATTACTTTCTCAACGATAAGACTGTTATTTTAATTGACTTAATAATCTCACCACATTATAACTTGAAAATCTGTTAGATATTCTTCTTGGTATAATAATGTTTTAATATCTCTATAAACTCTATTTTCTGCTCCCATATTGTCAATTCCTCGATAGACTTCCGACATGATTCCCTTAAATCGTTCCTACAATTCATTAAAACGTTTTATTTCCGCTTCATAACGGTTTAAAAACGTCTAATGTTTTAAAAACGTTTTTAGAACATAAAACATTTTTAAGACGGTATGTGGAGGATATGAAACGATCTAAAACCATTTTAGGAAAAGTAATAATTTTAGGAATAGGAATTGTAATAGATCAACAGTGCAGCGCCCTACTAAGAAATACCTTCCCCGTCCGAACGTGTCGCACACATAAATTTCCATGGGAACATACGAATGCGACACGTTCGGACGGGAAAGGCATTTCTGTGCACGACTATATGCAGTCGAGTCGAGTCAATAAACGTAAAATCGAAAGATTTAAGAGAACAGAATTAACTTTATCCCTTAGTACGGTTTTCACGCGAAAACGTATTGGGGGAAACTCACAACCAATTCTTTTTGCTCACAACCAATTCTGCTTTCTTTACTGGGTGGTCAAAATTGAGAGACCACTTGCAAAAGTGGCATTAGACCTTAGGATGACTCTATGACATAAGATATCTTCAGAACGTCCTTTGAACGGACATAGACATCCTCAGGATATCCTAAGATCAAGCTTTTACTTAGTACATATTTCAAATTTTTCGAAACTCTTTTCTAGAACTAGTAAAATATTGTAGCTTCTTCAGCTAACCATGTTTCTCCGAAGAAATTTAGTAATTACAAAAAATTCCACATTTTTAATCAGTAAGAATAAAAACTTTCATTTAAGTCCAATTAATCACCCCTTCTGTGTTAAGCTGAAATATTATAAACTGAGCCTAAAGTGCGTATGACTTTTTCATCAAGTAAATCACTTGAAACTTGTTTGTTACTCGGAGGTTTTTGGGGTCGCTGATTACGAATCTGAAGTCGGAATTTTAAAATTCAAACTATCGGATCCAATATGGCCGACGACAAATTCAAAAACTGATTGGATTCGCTTCAAAGTCCTTACTTAGGGGGTTTTTAGGGTCGCTGATTACGAATCTGAAGTCGGATTTTCAAAATTCAAAATGGTGGATGACAAATTTAAAAACTAATGAAATTCGCTTGAAATTCGTTACTCGGGAGATTTTGGGGTACCTTATTACGAATCTGAAGTCAGATTACTAAAATTCAAAATGGCGCATTTAACATGGTAAATGACAAATTTAGCAACTAATTGGATTTGCTTAAAAGTCGTTACTTGGAGGTTTTTGGTGTAACTGATTACAAATAAAGAGTCGGAGTTTCAAAATTTAAACTACCAAATCTAACATTGCAATGAATTTGATATTATAGGCAAATGGTTATTATTATTTACTTTTTTTAAAACAATGCACGTAGAGCCTTGCCAGTTACTTTTAATTTTGCAATAATTAGAAGAATTGCTAACAATTACACTGTGTGACATTAGAATGGAACTTTAAATCGGACCCATCCCAAAATTTAATTTTAGGGGCAAAAAACCGTTTTTTGTGTATTCATGTAAAAAATTATTAATAATTTCCTTAATTTTCAACCGATTTAAATTTTTTTTTTCATTTGAATGGAGACAAGTACATCTTTTAAACCGTGTATTGCTCGTTTAGTCAACATAGAAATTCACAAGACCACAGTTAAACAAATTTGCGATTTTTCGATCTTTACTCAATTTTTTCAACTCTAACGAGGTTTTTAGAATAGTATTCCAATTTAAACTTTTTCCTTCATAATTTCTTAAAAGTATACTTCATTCTGCGTAAAATGAGTTTTTATTTATAAAATTTGAATACAAATTGATGAAGTTACGAAAATTTTAAGATTTTAGAATTTTTTTGCAAAATTTGAAAATACTTCAAATTTATTTTATTTATTTATTTTATTTATTTAATACAAGTTCCTAGGGCTACATAGCCCTTCAAGGAACAATTACATATATTTCATTTTTTTATTATTTTAACAATAGTGCTGCACTCAAATTTGTATATATGAGGCATTCCATGTCAAGTGATCCAGGTGGAGAAAAATTTTTCTCCAATCGTAGCAAAACTTGAGGCTTTTGTAGTACTAATAGATAGTAATTTTTCGTGAAAATATTTTTTTACCTAGTCCAATATTTTCCGAGGGGGAGGGGGTTAAATTTTTGGGTTTTTCAGTACAATGCTTATTTCGATAATTTTTTACTCTTAAACTATTAAACATAAAAATTTGTCAAGGTACATTTTTTTTTTTTTAAACGAAAGCTGAGGTTTTTTCCTAAAAGGACATATAAATGAAAAAGTGGGACAAGAATGTTTAAACATTGAAAAAATGAATTTTCTCGTTAACAGAGCTAAAAACCGGGTTTAGAGAGTAGAAACCTCTGTTTTTCAATGTTTAAACATTCTTGTCCCACTTTTTCATTTATATGTCCTTTTAGGAAAAAACCTCAGCTTTCGTTTTAAAAAAAAAAAAAATGGGACCTTTTTTCCAAAAAATTAAAATTTATTTTTAATTTTGATTTTTTTGGGTCAAAAAAAATTTTTTTTTTTTAATGCTTATTTTCAATCGAAAGAGCATGAAAAAACCTTTCCAAAATGTACCTTGACAAATTTTTATGTTTAATAGTTTAAGAGTAAAAAATTATCGAAATAAGCATTACACCGTAAGACACCTGGATCACTTGACATGGAATGCCTCATATACATATATATCCTTCTATCATATAATACATATAAAATGAAAAATTTAGCAAGCATAATTTCA